ATGTTCTTTAATGACTAGCTGTTACGATCTGATATATTTAATGTCCAGATCTTGGATGTATAATATAGAAAATAAATATGTATGTAAATACCACATTTTCAAAACTTTGTTTCAACATATAGATGAAACATGAACGTTTCACCTGTTAATTATCAATCCAATTACCAATGTTTAAACTATAAAATAAACTGTTCCATTTAGTTTTGAGTGCCCTCTTAAGTGACTCAATGGTAAATTTCATGGCTTATAACGTTAAAAACTAGATTTCAATACCCGCAGTAGGCAGAGCTCAGGTGGCCCATTGAGTAGTTTTGTGCTTAACATCAACAAAACTAAATATTCTTGAGAATATTTTTAAAATATCGGATATAGACTATTTACGTAAGAAAGTGTTTAATAATTTTAGCTCCTCGGTAAGTCAGCGATAAATTTATGGACTTACGACTCTAAATTTGGGATTCGATTTCTCGTGGTAGATTCAGCGAAGATAATCTATTGTATAGCATTGCGCTAAAAACAAACAAACAAAACCAGTAATTTAAACTGTGTAAAATTATCACACTCGCAAATACACTTCATAAATGCGAAAGTATAAATTTATTATGTGAATATTTCAACATATTATTACCCATAAAACACCTGTTGCTTTTAGGTATAAATTGTAATGTCCAATGGGGTCGTGAAGATGAGAAATTTTGAAAGTATAATTAATTTATTTTATGAATAAAAATATTCCATATAATAATTAAAAATATTTTCCTTACATTAGAATGTGTAGGTTGTACAGTAGTTGTAGTTATGTTTACTTTACGCTTTATTATAAGTAGGCCTACCTGGTTTCGAGTTGTAGTTGTGTTTAAATCTATGTTTTATTGTAAGTAGGCCTAACTACACAGCGTGGTCACAAGTAAATAGACACCACCTTTTCAGAAAAAATGAAAATGTTCAGTCATATTCACATGAATTGATATATTTATAATTTAATTAATATCCAGTAGATCTTCCTTTC